TCAAGTTACAAGATCCTTGCACCCCTAACCCTTTAGTAAAAAAAACCCAAGGGTCTTCAAACCTGACAGCTTTAAGACTTGTGGACTTCAAACTCTCAGAATTCCTCCTCCAGTCATGTTGCGGCAACGTCATCTGTGCGGATCTGCTCCATCTTCAGTTTTTTCATAGGGGGCAGGGCTGCCGCTGAAGATGCCGACGAGCCCCCGCCGCCACCAGAATAACTGCTGCTGCCTCCTCCTCCTCCTCCAGCACCACCACATTTGCTGCTTGGTGCTGCAGCTGAGGTGAAGCCGCCAAAGCTCCCGCTGGTGCTCCTGCCCATGGCAGCAGCAGCAGTGCCTCCCCCTCTGCTCGGAGCACCTGAGCTGGGCTCCGCGTTATCCCTGCCACCGCCTCCTCCTCTGCCATGCTTTTGAGAAGCCATGAGGCTGTTTTTGCCTGTTCCCGCCCCCCCCCCGCCTTCCTACTGGCTCCCGCAGCCTCATGTCTCCTCAAAAGCATGGCGGAGGAGGAGGGGGTAGGGGTAACACGGTGCCCAGCTCAGGTGCTCCGAGCGAAGGGAGAGGTGCTGTTGCCATGGGCGGTGGCGTCGGCGTGAGCTTTGGCAGCTTCACCTCAGCCGCAGCGCTGGGCAGCAAATGTGGTGGTGTTATTGGAGGAGGAGGAGGAGGCGGCAGCAATTATTCTAGTGGCAGTGGGGGCTTTGGAGCTTCACTTCAGCCGCAGCACCAGGCGCAAGCAGCTTGGATTGGCTGCCCACAAAGGACCTCCTCGGGCTTACTTTGCTGAACACGGGGCGAATGATGCTAGTTTCAGCAGCCGCGGCTGGCGCAAACTACCGTCAATCGCCCAGTGCTGAACAAAACAAGCCTGAGGAGGTCCTTTGCGGGTGGCCAGTTCTAGCCGCCTGCAAAGGAATTCCCTGCACTTGCTTTGCTGAAAACGGGGCGACTGACGGTAATGAGCAGTGCAGCCGCACACCTTAGAGGGAACATTGCCGGCGTTCCCAGAAGTTAATTACTTCCGGGTTCACTGACCAACCGGTCTGCAAGGACCAGCAAGGACCGGTAGGAACCCACTCCTGGCACAGTGACAACTAAGAGTTAAAAAGCATGTGTCAGGGTCATGGATTTTTTCAGCTTGTGAATCTCAAGGATGAGGACAGGTATGTGGAGAAAGAAGGGTTGCCACTTGTTTGCTGGCAGCTGTTTTTTATATCTATTTAAATTGTTAGATTCTATACCAGGGGTGGGTTTCTCGCCCCGTTCCAACCAATTTGGTTGGAGCAAGGCCGGCGGCGTCCTCGCGCACGCACGCAGCATCCTCGCGCACGCACGCAGCGTCCTCGCGCACGCACGCGGTGCGCGCATGTGTACTAGCGTCTGTGCGATGCTCCAGCTGCTCCTGGAGGATCGCGCAGGCGCTGTATGCGTNCCCTCAGGTGCTTTGGACAATAGCTTGACTCCCTCTTCTTTGTGGCAGCCCTTGAGATATTAGAACACTGCTATCATGTCACCCCTAGTTTTTCTTTTCATAAAACTAGACATACCCAATTCCAGCAGCCATTCATCATATGTTTTAGCTTTCAGTCCCCTAATCATCTTTGTTGCTGTTCTCTGCACTCTTTCTAGAGTCTCAACATCTTATTTTATATTGTGGTGACCAAAACTGGATACTGTATCCTAAGTTTGTCTTAACAAAGCAATAAAAAGCTGAAGCTAATTTAAAATATACCGGTCAGAATTTTAAAAGGATGATTTATTGAGGTAACCTCATTCTAATTTTAGGAATTTTTATTAGTGATTGAGTCTCCAAACCCAATACAAAGCACCAGTTTTCACTGTGTCCATTTTTATATATATTCTGATCCTAATCTCCAAAGACCACAATCTCTGCTAAATCTAAGAGATTTATGATTAGTGTTCTGAACACTTTGGCATAACTTTTATTTAATTAATTATATGTATTCATTTTTACTTACAAATGAGCCTTTTCTGAAGGAACTTGTTTCTCTTCAGTAGTTCCTTTTTCTTCAATTTTCACCAGTTTTGATAACATTTTTTTTCTTGTCTCTGGTGCTTGTTTACCTTCCTGTCAATAAGCATTCAAGAAAGTGAAGCAACAGTTTTGTATTATACAGTTTCTTGAACAGCTGTATTTGATAATGCATGTGTCAAATGACAACAGAATTATTTCTAATACAATTGTCAAAATCAGTAGATCTCACTTTTCCCTTGATAATACCCTCAAGATGGCTATTTAAATTAGATAACAATTAATTCCAATTTTTATTCACAATTCTTGGAAACAGAAGGGCAGATCCAAGTTGGCATAAACCAACTTCACACCTTGAGGACTCCAAAAAGAGACAAAGGATAGGATCATGTAAATGGACTTCCATTGGCCACAAAGGGCCACTGAAAGAGCTACTGACACTTTGATCTAGTATTCCAGCTAGCAAGGTCCAGGAAAGTCATGACTTCGACCCTTAGGAACATCTTACCTCCTGAGGTGAGATTGGCTCCTATCCTCCTGGCCATCCAAAACAGCCTGAAGACCTGATTCTTCCTGTTAATTTCCCCCCCCCCCCCCAGGGGGGATTTCACATCAGAGTGACTGATCAACTAATAGTAGTTTCCATTCATCCCCATCCCTATATATTTGGTAGTTATAACTTGTATTTTATTGTAATTCTAATGTGATTTTATATGTTTTTCATATATTTATGGTTTCATTTTAAACCACGTAGTTGTTTGTGGTGAGTAGTGAGTGTGTGCCATAAATGAATGAATAAATAAATAAATAAACAAACAAACAAACAAACAAAACAGAACACAAAATAACACAAAATACAAGATTTAGGGATTGGAGCTTTTTAAATCCCTTTTGGAATGTTTGCATTGCATCAGAGTCTGCTTTTTGGACAATGCTTTAATGGAACCTCTTATCAGCTGGTAATTAATTGAAGATATTACTTCTTCTTTCTGTGCTTCTGCACAATCCTTTCAGGAAATCCTAATATGAAATCATTCTTTTACTGGACTTCAATTTTACTCCATTTTCTACCTTTTACTTTCTGATTATGGGAAGTTATCATCCAGCCCTCTCCCAGAAAAATGAAATATCCTAGGAAATATTGAAAAGGCAGAATATTTCTCTGGATGTGAAAAGAAA